GTATAAGGTGGAAGGTTATATTGAGAATCCCAACGGAAATTTCTTAAAGCAAAAAGTAGGAATTGTTTTTGAATTGATTCTATCTTGTCTGAGTAAATTTGATATCTTGGCTTCCAAACCACCGAACCGTATTCCAGAATTGGTCTAACTAATGTTGTAAACAGGGTTTTAGTGATATAAGGGTCACAAAATTCTTTTGACCATCGTTTCACAAATGCAAGTACACTTTTAGCCTTGTTGACTGTCACATTAATATGAAGATTAAAATTAAGCTTAGGATCCATTGTAATACCAAGGTCCACAAAATTGTATACCTGCTCCAGGTTATGGTTACCTATTGTATAAGAAGCGGGATGAACAGCTCTTCGCGAGAAGCACATTACTTTACATTTCTTAAGATTTAGAGGCATAAGATTGACTTGACACCAGTAATCCATGCTGTTTAAGTCTGATTGTAGCAAAGACCTTTCTTTAATTGAAACGTACGATTTATAAAGCTTTACATCATCTGCATACATTAAAATTTTGGAAAATTGTATATCTGTAGAAATATCGTTTATAAAAAGCAAGAACAGAACCGGGCCTAGGTGGCTACCTTGAAGGACTCCTGAAGTAACATCAACGACGTCAGAGATAGTATTTTTAAACATTACCCTTTGTGATCTATCATAGAGGTATGAAGACATCCAACGTAGAAAATTAGGTGAAAGACCAAGAAGATCAAGTTTATAGATGAGCAACGAGTGGCACACTTTGTCAAATGCTTTACTGAATTCAGTATATATAACATCAAGAGTTTTGCTTTCAGTAACTGCTTTTGAGATATAGGATGTTAATTCAAGTAAATTTGCAGAAGTTGATTTGCCCTTGCAAAATCCATGTTGACTATATGAAATGCTAGACGAGATAGAATGCGTCAACAGATTTGTTATAATTGCTTCAAATAATTTACACACTGCGGTTTAAGGTTTATAAAACAGTACAAATGTAAAGAACAGTGTTCGGACTTCCAAAAATCGATTCAGGACTAAATTCCTGCAAAAATCGGAGCAAAAACAAAATTTCCGTATTAGATTGAATTTTTGTTTCTGACATTAATTGTTTGACTAAAATATTTTCTATTCATGCAAAATAAGTACGCGAGGCAATGTAAGGATATGTTACAATTTAGGTAATTTTTAGCATTTTCTATATAGTAGAACGTATCTAACACTTAATTTTTAAAAAAGCAAACCTTTTCTACTTTATATAAATTTCATTTTACATATATTTTTTAACAACTTAAGTAAAGTTCTGCATCCGCCAATTTGTACAGCCATACATCAAAAACTAACGAAGTTACTTTATTGGCGCATTGCTATGAAAAAGTTACTTTTTAGCAGTGAGATTTGGTTAACTTTCAATTTTTTTACTGAAACCGGTGGAGAACACTCAAAAAACGGCCCCAAGAGGGGCATAACATGAATGAAAAAACGGAATAGATTTGAAGTTAAGCGGAGTAGAGGACTTGATTTCAAATTTTTTTAAAAACCGGAGTAAATCTAATCTGATTTTAGCTGAGTCCAAACACTAGTAGGGAACGAATTCTTTACATTTTAACGCTAATGACCCACAGATGGCGGGAAAACACAGGGTTGTATCGGACTCTCGACGTGGTTTCGAGTTGGTTAGCTTTTAACCATCTCAGTGAAATGGTTAAGTGCTGTCATTTTTATATGGCGAAACTACGCTAAATCAAGTGGGTTATCGGGATAACCAAATCAGTAGCCATAACTACGTGGTTAGCTCCGGTGGGGACATGGTATTACATATAGTTGGAAAATCGCCCTCTTTAAGAGACAAATTAAATAACTCTGTTAACGGCTCATAGAGATAATCAGCACAATTTATAAGAATTCAAGTAGGGATCTGGTCAGGACCATAACTGAAGGACCGCTTTAAGGATTTCAGATAAACTACTACATCATCGGGAGATATTACTGGGATATTTATTGAGTTCATTGGACATAGTTTAAAAGGATAGTCAATGTTAGCATGTGAGTTAATGAAATAATTGGATTTAAAAAACTGAGCGAACATGTTAGAAATTGTTTGATTATCACTAGAGACGGTATTTTGATACTTCATGGCGGAAGGAAACCCACGTACATTTCGCTTGGAGTTTACGAAGTCATAAAATGATTTGGGGTTATATATTATACGCCGTTTGATTTTACACAAGTAAGCTTTATAACACTTTTTGTTTAATTCAAAAAACTTATGACGCAAAAGTGAGTATTTTACATAGTATGAGTGTAAACCGTTTTTTTTTTGTGCAATCTAAAATAACGCGACTTTCTGTTTTTCAAATTTCTCAGTTCTTTAGTGAACCATAACTGTGTCTGTTCTTCAACATACATGCGTTTAGGCAGATGCTTTTCAAATAATTCATGTAAAGTTAAAAAGTGCAACGCTTTGTTCAATATTTTCTTTATATACAGGCCACGACAATATAGACAGTTCTTTGTTAAGCTTTTTAAAGTTGGCTTTCGAAAAATCAAAGCGAATATTTGGTTCGTATGCTTGGGTACTGCAATTTTGACCATCACTTATAACTTCGTAAGATACCTCCATAGCAGGGTGGTAGACATCTTCGGGCAAAACTAGTGGATCACGCTTATTTACAACGGACTTAGATGCATCGCCAACATAAACAAGATCTAATACTTTACCAAAGTTATTGTGAAGTACATTAACCTGAGTTAGGCAGAGTGCAGCCATCTCCTCTAAAAATACGTTGTTGCACGCATTAGACGCGAAAGGTACGATATCATTGTCAATGATGTTCCATGATAAGCTTGGTTAATTAAAATCGCCCAACAATCAATCACCCATTGAATCAGAAGGTTTAGTCAGTAAATTAATTGATTTCAGTAAAGAGATGAGTCGTGAATACACCAATGTGTCAGATCGGCGAGGGATATAGCACAGAGCTAAGTAAATAGACCCTTTTCCAGCATGTACACGAATGCATTTGAATACTGAATCAATGTCTGGAAAACTAACTTCTTCAAATGGTATTGAAGAGTCTACAGCGAAGAGTACGCCACCGCCGATTCTGTCCGCCCTATCTTGTCTATAGATATGATAATTATTTGGAAGAATCTCTGAATTGAAAATGTGAGGTTCCAGCCAAGTTTCAGTAAAAGAAAGAATATTATAATTACATTCAAGGCCTTTAAGGTATAAGTTCGTTAATTTAGTATTTAGCCTCTTACATTTTGGTAATAAATACTTAAAGCAGATTTAATAATTAGTTTTTTGATTCAGTGTTATGACGGGGAATATTAGCTAAGTTATTTCCTTTTTTGGGCCTATATTCGAATTCACGAACGAAAGCTCCGGGGGGCCAAAAAGAACAAAATAGCTGGCAACCCTGGTATGTGAAGTACATAAAGTTTCTCGTTCCACTTTGCTGTTTAAATATATAAGCTCTAAGTGAATAATAAATCACGATTGTACGTGTTATCTTCTATATAAGTGCTAAACATCATTGTCCATTGTTCGTCTCCTGTTCCGGCAGCTCTAAGCATCGAAATTGAAAATTAAGTCAGGTGGTCCACAAAATTGTTTTGTTCTTGCTGAATGCAAATGAGGCGAAGTACCTAATCAACAACAACTCCTATACGTCTCCCGCTATTCGCCACCAGCTTTTCTCCGAGTTGTCTGGTTTGTGTCATCAATAGCCACAATAGCGCCACCTGTGGTAAACTTTGTGCAAGTCACAACTTCGCGTCGTAAACTGTGCCAACTCGTTCTTTTCAATAATCCCACTAAAATGGCTGGAGGTGCCGGAAAACGACGTGGTGAGACTGCTTCCAACGATAGAGAACCTAGAAAACCTCAGCTAATCAGTGGCTCATCACCAAATATTATACGCAGTATGGATCTACGCTTTGAAAAGTTCAACGAACTGCTTGCAAAGCAAATCCTTGAGTCCGAAAACAGAATTATGGAGGTTTTCTGTCGCAAATTTGAAGAAAAGTTAGAATCTTTTATGCGTGAGCTAACCAAATTAAATGATAGAGTTACCCGTTTGGAAGCTACCTGCGATCGAATTAGTATCCTTGAGGCAGAGGTAGCAACTTTAAAAGAAAATCTCTCCAAGCATGATAGCCTTATGGCTGCCTGTGATGCTAGAGTACTAGGGATCCCACTCGAAGAAGGTGAAAACTTACAGAGTATCTTTCACCATCTATGTTTTTCCTGAATTTATAACCACCTCCATTAAGGGGTATTTTCCGAGCGCGGAAACATCGGGACACTCCTGTTGACCCTGCGAATATAGTCAAGTTTCAAGCAACCGAGGATAGAAAAAATTTTCTAAAAACTGTGGCGAATTATAAACGATCTAACAACAGTGGACTACGGCTTACTCATGCAGGCATACAATCCGAAGCCCCTGTCTTCATTAACGAGTCGCTAACAAAGCATAATAACCAGATTTTCAAGTCAGCCCTTAATCTCAAAAAACGGAAAAAAGTTGCATCTGTGTTCACCAGAGGAGGCTTACTTCACATTAGGCAACAGTCCGCTCGCAATATACACCCTGGATATACTCAAAGAACTGGAGCACACTAGTCCACCTGGTATCCACCCCTTTCGCGACGGGAATATACACCAAAACAGCGATTATCTTTTACTGCGTTACTTACTCTATTTCCACATATTTCTGGTTAAATTTACTATCAGTTTTGTTAAATTCCAACTGCAGTGCATTTAAAATATTGTATATTGACTTTGGACTATAAGCAGGCGAGTTCCAAAGGGTGTCTTAACACCATGTTGCGCATTTTAAGCAAACAAGCGGTTGGGTTGAAGATAATTCACCTCAATGTGCAAAGCTTGTACTGTGAGGACCCCGGATCCTGTGGCCCTGGGCCCCACAACAACTTTATATACACATACATATATATCCTTTGTACTATTTACCCTGAATTGTTGATTTGAAATTGTATACACACATGTACAAATATATATATATGTACACTTATGTTTTGAATTATTATATATATGCGTATGTATGTACATAAGCTTATTGAATTGCATCTATTCGGATTATACTAGTACGTATGTATGTATCCACTAATATATTTTGAATTATTACTTTGTATGCACAGTATAAGAAATACCTACAACATACAATACCTACATAAAATGTATAAAGCACAAACAATTGTAATGAGGATAACTGTCTGCGGATGGACAAACATGGTATAAAAGGAGCAGTGCTAACAAGCATTGGGCATTAGCTAGGCATACGTGGCACGCGTCGCAACGTGGGTCACACGGGTAGTGGAAGAGGGATCAACCTCCGAGACTATTATTGTATATTCGAAGTGGGCTTTAACCACTGAGACTGGTGCTAGCTGTAGGGTTTAAACCTACTCTAGTTCTATACTTTAGAGAGTAGATATAGCGAGAGTATAGCGAATAAAGAGGCTGTAAACTAGAAGCGAGTGTGTTCTAATTTCTTGAGGAGATAGGGTGTTTACTCCTTACAGGACCCTGGACAACCGAGAGCTACGCCCAGCACTCAGGAAAGTCCGTTACAAATGGCGCCCGAGCAGGGACTCTAAAGGAAACGAAACATAAAGGAGAGTGCCGTGAAAAAAAAGTGAAGTGAAAAAAAAAAAGAGAGAACACAAGTGATAGAGACACTGAGTTCAGCGACTACCCGAAAGACCCAAATTTAAGAAGCAATAAGGGCACAAGTGAGAGAGACACAAAGTGCAGTGACCACCCGAAGAACTACTAGTAGGCGGTCCAGTGAAGAAACAGTGTGAAAAAAAACAATGGTGAAGAGAAAGTGGATACATTACCTCAACCGAGAGGAGCTGCTGACCTATATGGCAGAGTTCGGCCTCGAACAGACAGGAACAGTCGAAGAGCTGCGAAGACGTTTCTCTTCATTTATACAAGAAGAAAGTAACAACGAAGACTACCAAACGCGGTTCGAAGAGCTAGAAGCGAAACACTCGAAGCCTGCGCTGAATGTTACCGCAGCAACACCAAGTGGAAGCCAGGGAGCCAGTGTCATGCAGTCACCAATGCCCGTTGACGCGTTTGAGACACCACAGCCATACGCAACGTATCCTACAACATCGCTGGCAACCATCATGGACCGAGTCCGTAAGTGGGGTTTCAAATACGACGGCGGCCGAGACCCGCTCAGCTTCATCGAACGTGTAGAAGAATTGGCGGAAGTATACGAGGTGAATCGTGACTTGTTACCGCGAGCGATGCCAGAACTACTTAAGGAGAAGGCGTTGACATGGTTCCGCAGTAATAACCGGAATTGGCGACAATGGGAGGACTTCAAACGAGACTTTCTAAGGTTCTTCTTAAACTCTCGCTACCACGAAACCTTAGACGATGAGATCCGTCGTCGCGTCCAACAACCGAACGAGAAATTTAAAGACTATGTGTTGGCCCTTCAGAGTTTGATGCGACACGCGAACTACACCTCAGAGCAGAAGCTGACGCGTATCTACAGAAACTCTAGAAGCGAGTTCCAATGGTACGTCAAACGATCCGAGTTCACCACCCTAGAAGGGCTAGTGAGTTTGGCGGAAGATATGGAAAATATCCCCCCGGTGAGAGAGCCACAGAGAGCCGCAGCGCGAACCACTCCGCGGGTCACGGAGAGATATCAGCACATGCGCGAACTGCCTAGGAGTGACGAGACGGCTAGAGCAGAGAGGACACAGCGCCGACCTGAACCACACAGCGGTGTGGCAACACCACAGACGGAGTACGTTAATCCGTGGACTGCGTGTAGACATTGCGGAGAAGATGGCCATTTTGCGAGAGAGTGCAGAGCTGCACGGAGAGAGTTTTGTTGGACCTGTGGTCGATGCAATGTCCCGACTCGAGAGTGCTGCCGTAGTGCATCGGGAAACGGGTCGAGGTCCCATTTGCGGCGAGGAGTGGGGCGTCAGGTAGAACAGCCTCGCCCAAACTAAAGAGTGTCCTAAGGCAGTCGGATGGCCGAATTATGGCGGCGATTAGAGTAAACGAGGTCGACGTAGTAGCTGCAGTTGATACAGGCGCAACAAGAAGTTTCTTGAGCGAGGCCATGTTTAAGAAACTGGATGTGGGAGAGGTTAGGAAGGTGAACACGCGTGTGGTAATGGGAGATGGGAGATCCAGAACGGTGCTGAAGGCTATAACGGCGCAAGTGGAGCTGGCGAATCAGGCGCATGAAAGCGATCTTTTGGTACTGCCTGGTTTGATGGATGACGTGGTGCTTGGAACCGATTACCTGGCAAAAGCGGGGGTCCGATTATGTTGCGGAGACTTAGACGTGACACTCCGAGAAGAGAGCTGCGCACAAGGAGTAGAAACGTTCACGGCAATACGCGAGGGAGGTGCAGAAAGGTCAGGTAAATGCGATGAACCCAAATCAAACCCCATATCTACAGAAGCCACGACAACCGACGAAGCGAGGGAGTTCTTAATGTCAGAGTTACGCAAATTTGAGAAGATGTCTGGAGTTTCAAATATTGCCACTCACCGGATCGTCATGAAGGATGACCGGCCGATCAAGCAGAGGTATTGCCCGAAGAACCCGAAGATGCAGGAAATCATCAACGCGGAAATCGACGACCTTATCGAGAAAGGGTGTATTGAACCCTCACACAGCCCGCACAGCGCCCCAATAGTGTTGGCGAAGAAGAAGACCGGCAAATGGAGACTCTGCGTCGACTACCGACAGCTAAACGAGCGTTCAGTGCCCGACGCGTACCCCCTACCGAAGATCCAACATATCCTTGATCGACTACGAAGCGCGCGTTACATTAGCAGCCTAGACCTGAAAAACGGTTACTGGCAAATCCCAATGGAAGAGCAGAGCAAGCAGTACACTGCTTTTACAGTGCCAGGGCGTGGCCTTTTTCAATGGCGAGTAATGCCGTTTGGGCTCCACTCCGCCCCCGCGACATTCCAGCGTGCGTTAGACCAAGTTATCGGTCCAGAGCTAGAGCCGTATGCGTTTGCCTACCTGGATGACATTATTGTCATCAGTGCAACCCTGCAAGAGCACGTCCAACATCTTTCGGAGGTCTTCCGACGGCTTAGGCAGGCGAATCTTAGGATCAACCCAGAAAAATGCGAGTTTTTCAAGAAGCAGTTGAAGTATCTGGGTCACGTCGTCAGCGAGAAGGGCATTCACACCGATCCTGAGAAGGTCGCGGCTATCAAAGAGCTGACACCACCGACAAATATAAGGGAGTTACGCAGGTTCCTAGGGATAGCTTCATGGTACCGAAGATTTGTCCCCGACTTTTCCAAAGTGGCGCATGCGCTGACGTCCATGCTAAAGAAGGGCCACAAGTGGAAATGGAACGACGAGCATCAGACAGCGTTCGAGGCGCTGAAGAATGCGCTAACCGAGGCACCAGTG